GCTAGTATATAATATGTGGGGCTCTCGCGCCTCCACGGCATGCCTGGGGTGGAGACTTTTCATCACAAAGTCTCCACTGGCAGTCTCCAGCCAATACATTGATATGGGCAAGGTGAGACTTGGATGAAAGTCTTCACCCCGGTTAGAGCCGCAAAAATCATAGAAATTCCCACATATCATATATCATCTGAAAGCTCTTGAAGAGGGAATCCAATCTATGAAGTCCCAACATGATTCATGCAATTATGAAGAAGTCATGAGCTGTTGAAATTCAAAAAGCGGTTTTTAAATGTTTGTTTAAGAGCCTGAATCTCGGCGTATCTCAGTGGATCATCACGGCTAAGACAAGTCTGATAGTGCAAAATTTACTTTACAAAACTATAAAGTCGCAACATTGCATGTCTTCACATTCCAGGTTTATGGGATCCAGCTGTCACTTAAGCAACCTAAAATCGCTCAATTCTTCAAAATTCTCGTTCTCGGCGGCCACTGCTCAAATCGAACTGAGTTTTCACTGTCTGGTAGAACGCTTTTATATTTCAAAACCTATGAAGTCGCAGCTGCTGACATCTTCAACCACCAGATTTATAACAATGAAATCGCATGATTTTTCGCTATTTTATTATTCGAAATTCTGATTTTCGATGGTTACTGCCTGGATCGACCTACTTTCTTCGCAGTACGTTATAACAAAATTTATTTAATAAAATACGTAAAGTCTCACTGTGTTTTACTTACAAATACACCATTTGATAAACGCGTTTACTTTAAATATTTATGCCGCTGTAGTCATCGTATTTGTGGCCCTAAAGAGGGCCCTTTGGGTCACAGTTGTTGGCTGTAAAGAGGACCGTCGGGTTAGAGTTCTATAATTATCCGAATTGATCATGAAGCTTTGCCCTCCAAAATCGTAGAGAGGCGAGGTGAGGCGTAGATGCGTCCTTGTCGTCTTCTAAGTGCTCGCAATAGGCGACGGCGAGTTCCTAAAAGTAAAATGAGTGAGAAAAAAGCTTTTATTGAACTTTGAATTAGTTTCGTTTATTTCTCCTTTTTATTGATTAGTAAAAAAGCTTTTGAGGAAATTTTTTGCGAAAAGGGACGTCGAGCTGTGCTCGTCCCCCCCCCTCCCGGTCGACGTTTTTGGGAGGTGATGTCCGGCACCACCTTCACTTTTGGGGGCCCCTCTCCACCCATCGCACCTCTGATGCTGATTACGAATACAAGTTTTTTTCAAAATTATCGATTAGTTCCATCGATTTTATCTTTTGCAAAGTCCGGCTACGGTGCTGGGAATCGGCACATGGGAGTAAACGAGCATGCTGATTACTAACACAGCGGGAATAAATGGTTCCTTATTAATATTATTTTTATTTTTATATTTATTGATATTTTTATTTATTTATGTTTCTAATATAATATTCTATAACATTTATTGATATTTATTTATAATACTTAGATTTCTTTTTTATTTATTATTATTTAAAATTACCAAATATCGAATAATTGAATTAATTGAATTAATAAATTATTGGCATGTGAGAGTGGGCACAAGGAAAGGTTGTACAGGGACACGGATGGGACCATAGGTGCAATAAAAGGAGCAGGGTCCCCTCCAGGTGAAGTTCGGTTATTTCCGATCTAAAAAATGAAGGGGATAACTGAGCCTTTGGGTGAGTGCAAGCTTACATGTCGAGTGGGACTGAGGTGTGCAAAGGGGAAAAAAATAAGTGGTATGTGGTAAGTGGTAAGATGTAATATGGAGAATTTTTTTAGTGCTTTGCTTTCGGAATCCACTGATCACAGAGTTTTTGATTTAGGAAAGGTTTATGTCGACATCATTCGAAAGTTTGAAGCATCAGCATTACCGTCTTGTTTTTCCAGCTAGTTGTAACTCTACATATAAATCTCTATCTAGCTGCAACACCAGCTGATTTTGTGCGATCACTTTGCACTCCATTCCTGAAAGAAAGAGGGAAGCTAGAAAAAAATACTGTCTCATGAATATTGCTTATTCAAAAAATCTGACACATTCTAAACTTTGGGTTTATTTCGCTAACGACTAAACAAGTTTATGAGACAGGAAGTATCAAGCTTGAGTATTTCTCAGAAACGCTGTAAGAGTGCCAAAAGTGCGGCGACTGAGAAGAAGCTGCAGCTGACGGTTTCATACAAAATGTGCACCATTTGTCGTAGGCGTGTGTTCTCCGCCGTTATGCCTTGACCCTAGTCTAAGCCTCAGGGTTGAGGGTCATTCAGATGCCCGCCCAAAAGTGAAGAAGGGCAAAGAAATTGCTGCACCTATCGCACGTACTGGTGGGACTTTGTAATGTTTTGACAGGGCCGAGCGGAGCCGGGTAAGCTAGCTAGTATGTTATGAAAGCATTACGACGAAGTGTGAATTTCATATCTGTGTTAAGCAATTCCGATTATTCCTACTGTGAGAATTCTAAGCCTAGTTCTATGCGGAGCAAGTAAGAAAGGATTGTTTGGAGTGATGGTCTTTTTGCAGCACAGGTTTACCATGGATTTCGGATTCAGTGGCAGTGCTCGAAGGTTATCCTGTAGCATTTGCTTTGCTTTATCCAATAATATCGCTGTCGCAACTCAATATTCGTTTTCTTTTTTCCAACCTTATAGGTACTATATATGCACGCGTCGAAACGTCTCATGTTTAGGAGAGGTCCAAAATCTTTTGAAGAGCCCGCTGTGTTGACTACCAGCTCATAGTTGGCGAAAGTTGTCTGTGTTCGCTCTTGACTATGTAATAGTGTGCGCTACAATCGGTGTTTTGGAATAGTATGGTTATCAAGCATGGTTTATTCACAGCAATTCAATACAGTGTATGGGACTAAGTGATATTTACATCTTAGAGAAAGTTGCTCAAAGACACAAAATCCGGACACAAATTTGAGATTGCTATTCAAGCATCTGTCATAGTAGTCTACTAACATTGCATATTGTATCATTGCAAGACTTCATATACTGAATTGCTAGCAGATGTACCACGACTAGATGTTTTGCTTAAAAACGATGGCGGCGGCCATGATGCTTTGGTCCACGATGGAATGGTCCCGGGCGATGACCTGGTCTCGGGCGATGGCCTGGTCCTGGTCTGCCTGGACGATGGTGCATTCCGTGTCTCATGCCTTGCACTGTTAAAGAAATACATAATCAGCAAGTAGGAGCAAACGGAAATTGGAACCTACCAGATGTGCTGCAGATAAACATCAAGGCAAGTAAGGTTATGAAGAGAAACTTGAAAGATGCCATCTACGCGGGATCAGAAGCACTTCTACCTCTAGCGAACCAAACTTATTCTCTACAGACTTATATACTACATCTTAACTTGCTTTATAAAACTCGAAATTCCAACGATATCAGTTTAGCGAGCCATAGAAGAAGAAAAACAAGTGCTTAGTATCAGGTTTAATGTTATATCGTAAGAAAAAGTGCAAAAACAGACGAAGATGTGTGATCACATACCGCCATACCAACAAGATGACGAAATAAAGGACAACGATCAAGAAAAAAATGTAGTTTTGCCGCGGTGTCTCCACTAGATTTCGTTACTCCGCAAGAGTTAATGAAATTTCAACGAAGTTTTCTGTAGGCAGGAAGACTATACAAACTCAGCATTCACACTGTATGACCATGAGTTGACGCTCTCGTTGAACCACCAGTAAATTTATTTGTAGCAAAAATAAAATCCACTTAGCTACTGCAAATAAGAGCAACTGCGAAGTATTTCACCTCAAAAAGTGGAAATTAAACTAAGTAGAAAGATGCTCTGTTTTATTGTGAATGCTGGCTTCGTATGTTGCTGTCAAAACGTTAATTACATTCAAAATCAACCATTATATGTCGAGCTGCGTGTTACTGCTGTCAATAACGCTGAAAAAGCATTTTTGGTCTCAACCACAGCGATGACTGGGCATAATCTATTTTATAGATAAGGGCCGAATGTCATCTGGTAATATTCCTTCAAAACCTCTCAACAATTACTACATTCATACTGTTCAATCCTATAAAGCTTAATACAGTCCTACTTTACAGTTTCACTGCATATAAGATTAGGTAGATGCTGCAAGCATCTAGTGCAATTTGGACAACTTGCTTCGAAAGCCTGCAGTTGAATTAAATCGTAATTCAGCTCTTTGAAAAAAGGCACAAATCTTATAGTGGATGGCTTCCAGCAAACAAAAGATAATGCTAACATTAGCATGGCGCAAAAAATTAGTCTTTCGTACGAATGTTGAAAGACTTTGATAAATAAGCGTAGAAGACACTAATCGCCTAGATTTGGTGTCCTCTTTGGTCTCAATACTGGCACTGCACACTGGCAAATTTTCAATGAATTTGCATTGGCATGAGATATGGACTCTACTTACAAGGAAAACTTTAGTCGAAGTGGCCTTTCCAAATGAGATGTGTACCATAAAAAAGGGCATAAAACGCTGATTCCAAATCTGCCTTCATCTGCAAAACGTTGTACGAGGAGTTATGAGCATTTTTTGGAGCCAAAAATTGAATGTGCGTTTACATTGAAATGAGTTGCGAAAATCTTACTAGCCCTCAAGTAATGCAACCAAGTGCGATATATTTTTTTAAGTACATTTGAATAAACTGCTCTGATAATTGTCATTGCTCCATTGAAGAGGTAGAAAAAGTAATACGGCTATTTTTGTTCGACTTGCACATTCAATTTTTTGCTCCAATAATCGCTCACAACTCCTCGTCCATAAAAGTTCTGCAGATAAGGAAGGCGATTTGGAATCAGCATTTTGTGCCCTTCGGTACAGTAAACATCCCATCTTAAAAGGTCACTTCGACTAAACATGCATTCCTTGTTGGAAGGCCCGATTATTACTAGGAGATTGTAACCCGTCCAGTGTGACATCACGGTCGATTCTTCTACCATTCCGTAAAACCACTATTTTTCACGTTCTTCTTCATTCGATAGTGATTTGACAACAGAAAGCAATGTGCGAAACCGCTTGGGTCTTGCCGCCAATCTGTGGTCATTAACTTTGTTACGTCGTCATGATGGCTCATCATCTGAGTATGTGGTCAAACAACACACTGCGGAAAGCTTTTTCAATTTGAAATCTTACCGGAACAAGACGCACTTCACTTTTTTGGTAGAAGTTTGAACAATATTTGGCGAATCTAAGGTCTTTGTGAGCAATATTAAGCACTAGCTGGCAAACCCGGCTCCGCCCGGCCCTGTCATTATTATATTCGTAATCAGCATGCTCGATTACCCCCCTGTGCCAACTCCCAGCCCCGTAGCTCAAATTTTGCAAAAAATCGATAAAATCGATATCGATCGATAACGAAAAGTAGCCTATGACACGCTCCCTGCCCCGAAGTATATGTGTGCCAAGTTTGGTCCCGATCGGTTCAGAAATAAAAATTTCTATTCCGCACATACGTACAGACAGACAGACAGACATTCAGCTTTATATATAAGATAGTATATAAGTTCTTCCAGCAAATAGGGGTGTACAAGAGTTCGAAGTGTTTCCGATCCCGCGTAGATGGCGTCCTTCAAGTTTCTCTTCATAACCTTACTTGCCTTGATGTTTATCTGCAGCACATCTGGTAGGTTCCAATTTCCGTTTGCTCCTACTTGCTGATTATGTATTTCTTTAACAGTGCAAGGCATGAGACACGGAATGCACCATCGTCCAGGCAGACCAGGACCAGGCCATCGCCCGAGACCAGGTCATCGCCCGGGACCATTCCATCGTGGACCAAAGCATCATGGCCGCCGCCATCGTTTTTAAGCAAAACATCTAGTCATGGTACGTCTGCTAGCAATTCAGTATATGAAGTCTTGCAATGACACAATATGCACTGTTAGTAGACTACTATGACAGATGCTTGAATAGCAATCTCAAATTTGTGTCCGGATTTTGTGTCTTTGAGCAACTTTCTCTAAGATGTAAATATCACTTAGTCCCATACACTGTATTGGATTGCTGTGAATAAACCATGCTTGATAACCATACTATTCCAAAACACCGATTGTAGCGCACACTATTACATAGTCAAGAGCGAACACAGACAATGCTTTCGCCAACTATGAGCTGGTAGTCAACACAGTGGGCTCTTCAAAAGATTTTGGACCTCTCCTGAACATGAAACGTTTCGACGCGTGCATATATAGTACCTATAAGGTTGGAAAAAAGAAAACGAATATTGAGTTGCGACAGCGATATTATTGGATAAAGCAAAGCAAACGCTACAGGATAACCTTCGAGCATTGCCACTGAATCCGAAGTCCATGATAAACCTGTGCTGCAAAAAGAGCATCACTCCAAACAATCCTTCCTTACTTGCTCCGCATAGAACTAGGCTTAGAACTCTCACAGTAGGAATAATCGTAATTGCTTAACACATATATGAAATTCACACTTCTTCGTAATGCTTTCATAACATACTAACTGGCTTACCCGGCTCCGCTCGGCCCTCTCAAAACAGACGTCAATCAGCACAAACTCTGCCTAGTTAGGAACTTCATGAAGTAAAAAATTTAGTACCGCCTCCTCCGATTTATTTTAAGTCTCAGATTAGGTTTCAGTGTTTCTTTACGACAAATCAAAATTTGAGTAACTTTAGTAACTTTCTTCTACCGCTCCTATCTAAGTAACGCATTATTCTCCCAAGACGCATAGATTTATGTATAGTGCACTGAAGTAATAAGTTAGTATTTAGCGTACAAACGTCCTAGAAGAAACTCGAACACTTTTTAGCTAATGCGGGCTCAGAGAGCCCCACGCCCCTATTACCCTAGAAAAGCTCCAGTCCCCTGAAGTCCGAAATTTTTATAAACTTCCAGCAGATGCTCACCTGCTCTCTACAGCCTTCTCCTCCCCTCCCATAGTATCCCTCACTCCTCTATTCTCCACACCATGAACTTTATTATGTTCATGTGCGCCTTTTTAGCGCTATCTCTTAACTTCTAAGACCATTCTCCTCCTTCCCCTCCCCTTCCCCGCCTCTTCGTTGCTTTCCTACTTTTGCTGAAGATTAAAAGAATTGAAAGAACAGATGGGATTAAGGTGACTGAAAAGTTTTTGTTAGAAATCTTTACTGAAGCTTTCTTACTCCGAAGCTTTACCTAGTCAGAATTCTTCAAATAATTCTCTACATTTTTTGGTCCAGCGCTAGCTCTCGTGTTTCTCCTACTAAGCATTATAGCAACAAAAATTTTTTCCAGCGCTCTCCAGAGTTCTGTACTCGGAGTTTCCCGGCCAAAAGGCAGGTCTTTCCAAACTTCCGGGAGACAACCGCATCCGTGTTTGTTCACATATGGCGATGTTTCTCACATTGAGAAATACATCGAATTTCTCTTCGACCTCCACTTTCCCAACTCGGGTAAACGCTCCCAACATCCTCTCCCAGTCTTTTATAAATATTTTGGATTCTTTACTCGTGAAAGATTTTTAGCCGTCGTCGTTTACACTTTCGAAATCAAAATACAAAATTCAGGAACCCACTCTTTGCTTCTGAGATTCTTCTTCGAGAATGTCAAATTTTCAGCCATTCAAAAATTGCCAAAACTCCACAACTCGCTTTTTTTCTATAGACTTTAGGGTGCCTTCATACCGTGCCGGCAGCCGCCGCTAGCAGCCCGTAGCAGCCCGTAGCAGTCCACAGCAGCCGCCAGCAGCCCGTAGGGTCCGCTTCTATGACAAAAGCGGCCGCCGCTGGCCGCTTTTGTCATAGAAGCGCGAAATCATCAAATTTTTACTATTCTAAGGCTTTCCATCTTCCTGCTTTTTCCTTTCTGTTGTCGCAATTCGACCTCATATATCATACTTGTGTCCATTGCTGTTAAAATCTTGTTGTCGTAGATCGGTTCTTCTATTGGTGCTCAGTTTCTCTCTTGCAGTTGAACCATATTTCGCCAAAGTTTCTTCGCGGTTTTTTTTGAGTATGGTTCTGTTTTAATCACATCTTTGGCCGGTGCTTATCTTAAGCAATTCTGTGATGAGTGGGTCTGGAACTATACATCAGCGATAATAGGAAGAAAGAAGCGTGGAAGATGGAGAGCGCACTCAAAGTAGCAAGAATCTGGTGATTTTGCGCTTCTGTGACAAAAGCAGCCAGCTGACGGCTACGGGCTGCCAGCGGCTGCCGCGGGTTGCCAGCGGCTGCTGCGGGCTGCCAGCGGCTGCTGCGGGCTGCCAGCGGCTGCTACGGGCTGCCAGCGCGGCTACCGGCGCGGTATGAAGGCACCCTTAGCCTGAGTCCACGCTACAGGCAATAACTGAGAACTTTGATGAGAGAAATCACATTTACTTGCTGGTGGATTTGTTACAACTATATTGGGTAGGGGGCACGCGGAAGGCGACAATCGGCGAAAAATGGAGGCTGTGTATCACCCGTCTCAATGACTTTCACGGATTTCTACTTGTGGCATTGAGTAATGTATCTACCCCCCACCCCCCCCCCCCCCCTCCCCACCTCCGTAGTCCCCCGCGCTGTCACTTTGACACCGGAGAGTATTTGATAGGCACAAAATTGGGGATTGACGCCTTCCGCATCACACCCTATTGGGTAGCATTGCAAAAAGAGAGCGGATAAGATAACATAACTTAGGGATCCATCCTATATCTACCTACAGTGTTGCGAGTGAAATACAGGCTGCACTTAACAAAGCGTAAACATCTTGAAAGGGATCGTTTTCACATTTTTGGTCGTGGTGACACCAAAAGGGCAACTGTCCTTGCGTAGCTCATTTACGAAAAGAAAACACGACTGCGGTGGCAAGGTATCAAAGATGACTGCTGGCGAAAAACATCCACGATGAGTCACATGGGGATGCTTGCGCTTTATAGAGAGTATCTAAGCAATATGTGCTCACTGAAAAGTCGCTACAATATGTCATGAGAAGCATGACTTAATCTTTCAAACAAAAATGGGAGCAGCAAGATGGTTGAGAAATTCAGGAGTTATGAATTTTCGAAAATGGTGCGACAGAACATCTGTGCTAATATACTGCTTCATAAGGACTGAGCATCCCAAGTTCACTTCCTACGCATGCTATTTTAGCTATTTCGTCGTCCTAATAGGTCGTATCGTCTGAGTCAACATTGTGGGCACAGGCTCTTCGTTCCTTGATAATCCTTTATTGAGTAAAGTTTGATCCCAGCCAAAGATAGATGCCCATGATAGTCAGCACATTCACTACAAGGCCGATTTCTCAATCAAGCTGGATATCAAAATATGATTTATTTCAGTTTCTAGATTTATGATGTAAGGTTACGGTAATCATTCTGTACGAACCCAACAAAATAGATCATCGTGAAAGAAATGTGTTTTGTGGTTATCTCACGTGCTGATCACGATTATAGTGTCCACTTTGTTCATTAGTGTTAATGGTGTTGCGGTAGCAGTACGACGAAATTTTCTTAGTAGAAAAACTGATGTAAGAAGCCGGTATTAGAACTTGCGACCAACATTTTCATAATCAGCATGCTAAACCTATATATGTAAGATTTCAGCTTCCTGGGATGAACAATGCAAAAAATCAATAAAATTTGTAAAATTGATATTTTTTTGATTTAACATCAGTCTCCTGCCAGCCCCGTAACTCTCGTGCATGTCCACTTGAATGTTCAAAAACAGCATCATTCTGCGAAGAATCAGAGCTAAAGTCTGTGCTTTATTATTATCTACACTATACCTACCGTAACACTACATTACAGTGTCCCGAGCCCGGACCACTCTGGCCGGTGCTTCTTCTAGGTGTCCCCGATCATGTGCTAGAACCCCGTAAAATTCCATCGTAAATTAGCAAAGCTAGAGCTTCAGGAATCTTATGATCCACCGGTGGGTCGTATTGTCCGAAATGCAGAACACGTACGACCCACCGGTGGGTCGTATTGTCGTGAATGTGCTAAGCAGCGAGTTTGAAAATACAAATTTCAATAGCTGCAAGATTTCTGCATTTCAAGCGACTAAGAGCTTCACAGGCCCCGCGTGCTTTGCGCAATTTTTGTTGCGAGGCGAGCCGGCATTTTGCCAGATTTCACTGAAACACTAGCAGCCTCAAATGCATAGTGCTTAGTAAGTGTGTAGACTGATAAAATGCTCTATCTTCTGCATATTCAGAATGCGCTTACAACGAGTTACGACAGCCATAATTAGTAATCATCCTAATCAGATCAAAATTGGCATGGCGAGAGTCCGCATCGCTAGGCTTTTGCGTTACGCGTTATGCGGCGCGAACGACTTGCACTGCAGCGCGCTATTCACCCCAACGGTTTGGTCTGATCCCGATTGGGGCAACTGTATAATCAACTAAAGTATGATCAGGTCGCGCGATCTAATTCGCGCAAAGTTTGATGTACTGCTTAATATTTGCGAGTACTCTACATTACAAGTGCATTATCAATCTGTTCACACAGTTCGCGTATTTAAGCTTTCAGGGCAAAAAGTCAACAAAATTTCTACATTTTCTTTCATCTTTTACATGAATCTTACAATGATTTGATGCTCTTTCCTCATGTAATGTGATGGGACGGTCTTTTCGCAGGGCTGCACGTCAGGAGGTACGTCGCGCGCGGCCACAGCTCCGCCGCGACGCCGCGTCCAAATCTTGGGACTCGCAAATCTCTCCACTGTTAGAGTTCCCAGCGGCAAAAACAGCGGGGCAGGGGTGAGGACAGACACATGTACTCGATGCCAAAGTGATACTGATCCAGAAGTGTTGCTATTGCATTGGCTGAAGTGCGCTGCGCCTTCGCTTCGCGGAAAATTCGCGGCGGTCGTACCTCCTGACCGTTTTCCTTTTCGCAGGGGCAGACGCTAGTCTCGCCCTGATTTTGACTCATCTTAACACGTCGCGCACGTCGCAATTCCCCCCTACTTCCTACTTTGCTTAGGCAGAGCCGCCGCAGAGTGTGTCGCGCGCGGCGATAGTCTTGTGTGGAAACCATTAGGGTCGTACGAATCGTCCTGCACCCCAATG